GGCAATCACACCCGAGGCCCTGGGAACACTTCATCGCTCCCTACGGCCCCAACCACAACCAGCAGAGGTAACACTGTCCGACGGCTGCACCATCATGCACCCCAAGGAGCTCATTGACCAGAAGATCCAGACCTGGACCGACCTGTGGGCCCCCCACGCCGTCGACTACCACAGCCTGGATGCTGCTTTCCAACGCATCGTCGACCGCATCCAGGAGTGCCCACCCCCTGCGCTCACCGCTGACGACCTCCGACGGGCCGCCTCCCGCCTCAAGGCCAACACGGCGCTCGGCGCCGACCGCCTACGACCTGGCGGTTTCCAGCGGCTTCCTCAAGATGCACTCCAAGAACTAGCCGACCTACTTACCACATCGGAACGGCTCCAAGCTTGGCCACACCAACTCCTGCACACCATCGGCGTCATGCGGGCCAAGAAAGACAACGGCGACCGCATCCTCGGCCTCATGACGATGGTTGCACGATTGTGGTCCATGGCACGTGAAGAACACGTACAACAGTGGAACCGAGATTACTTTGCACATTGGGATGCTATAGCCAAGGGCAACTCGGCTTTCCGCGAGGCGTACGAAAGATGCCTGCACGAGGGGCTTTCGACCTACCTCCGCATCCCGCAGGCACATGGCCTGCTCGATATCGCCCAGCTCTACGACTCCATCCACTGGGTCACCCTCATCGACGACGCGCTCGACCTCAACTTCCCACCAGAAGTTCTTGGACTTGAGATCTTGCAGTGTACCGCTCCCCGCACGCTCATGCAGAACGGCGCGTATGCGGAAGCACTCCATCCCACGCGCTCTGTCGTACAGGGATTACGTTCTGGCACACGATTCGCCAAGATCATGACTTACAAGGCACTTCAACGCATCACCCATCACTACCCCGACCTCCAGCATCGCATTTGGGTCGACGACCTGTCGCAGCGCCTGCAAGCCAGCCGACGAGCATTACGACGCCGCATGGTGGCTTGCCTCGCCGACACCTGCATCGCGCTCCAGGACCAGGGCCTTACTGTTGCTAAGAAGAGCGTCATCGTCTGCACACACCACGACGACGCCAGGTATATCGCGAACGCCATGAGGAGGAAGGGTTTCCCCATCCGCGCCAACACCCAGGCCAGCTACCTCGGCATCGACCTCGGTTGCGGCATACGACACGCACGGCGCACCACCACCCAGCGACGCTGCAAGCACGACGCCATGCACCAGAATATACTTCGCTTCACACGCGCGACACGGCGACATCGTATCTCATCTAAGCTCGCCGTACAAGGAGGGATGCCCGCAGTCACCTACGGACACCAAGTCTACGGCGCATTCGGCACGACTATGACCACCTACCGCCGACGCGTCGGCGACGCAGTGGGACCTCGCTTACGTGGACGGTGCCTCACTACCCTCCTCGACCTACGCGGCCACGACCCAGCCCGCAAACTGCCGCACGACGCACTCAAGGCATGGCTCACCACCTGGATACAAGGAGGCCCCCTCCAACGTGTTATCCAAGCCACTTGGAAGACCGTCGTCTCCAACTTCAAGACCATGCCGCCACATGTACGAGTACGACACATACGTGGACCACAGTCTACCATCATCCGCTACCTCATGCAGCACGACTGGGAGCCTCTGGAGCCCAACAAATGGCGCCTTCCACCAGCACTCTCCGACTGCGGCGACACCTGGGAGTTCGACGCCCAGCAGCTCACGGGACACCCCGACGCCGACATCCCACATCAACTACTTCACGACCTCGACGCCAGCATTCAACACCAACAATGGTAGCGTGCCAGTACCCACCACGGCGGAGAAGGCATGCAGCAGGGGATCGACAACTACTCCTACCGCAGGCTCCTTCGGCACCTCGAGAGTCTCGCAGACGGCGCACGTCTTGCGAGCCTCATGCTCACCATCGCAGTGGGTGCCATGTGGACACGCACCAGGGTCGCCGCTGAAACGTCCACCACCATACCCACCACATGCCCACGCTGTGGCACCAGCGACGAGGACGACTACCACCGCTGCTGGGAGTGCGAGGGCAATAGCACCAACACCATCATACTCGCCTCCAACACCCTGTGTGCAGAGGCTGCTTCCCAACGGGCTATGTTCGAGTGCTTCTGGACGCGAGGCCTACTACCTGCGCAGTGGACAGCTCTTCCACCACCACCACAGCACGACCAATGGGAACATTTCAACTGCAACGGCCACAAAGACGGATGCATGGACCACGTAGGAGGACATCCGACCTACGCCTTCGGCGATGCCAGTGGTGGCCCCGACACTGCTGTCACTCCCCTGAGGAGGATCGGCATAGGTGTCGCCTTTTTCGCCGACCTCAACAAGTACGACATGCCGCTACGGGGCGCAACTTGGGGGCCCCTCGCGGGCAGCCGCCAGACCGTCATCCGCGGTGAACTCATGGCCCTGGTAGTGGCCGCTGAGAGCCTTACTGACGACCTCGTCTACTTCACAGACAGTGAGGGCTGCTACAACAACTACCACAACGGACACACGGACAACCCAGTCGGACCCGACGCGGACCTGTGGGCACGGCTCGGACGTAATATCTCTTCTCGCAGCGGTTCCCTCACCATCTTATGGATTCCCTCGCACATGAGTGCCCACGACGTCTATCAGGGCAAGATCCCCGCTACCCTCGCCTACGGCAACACCGTGGCGGACGAGATTGCAGGAGCTGCAGCGCAGGCAGCCAGAGTCTCATCCGCCGACAGGCAGCAATACGCATTGATTGAGCAAAAGGCATTTCTAGTCCGCATGAGATTGCTCCGCACATCCCTTGAAGCGCTTGAGCACGCTAGGAATAACGATCAGTCTTCTGGGGATTCCCGCCCAAAGAGGCAGTGAGGCGTGGCTCCACAGAAGCCACCCGCCCCCCGCGTTTGTGCCCTGTTCCAGTCCCAGCACTCTGTAGCCCCTTGTGGATCCAAGTGCACCCGTTGTAGGACCACTACCACGCTGGCCTCAAGGGCCCAATGGTTGCTCAGTGACTGCTTCGATCTATGTAATGTCGATGGCACATATATGATGGCTCCTCTTGGGAAACAGGTACACGTCGCAGGGGGATATGTAGACTCGACTCACACTTTAAGGTTCCACGCTGGGCTGAATCTATGGTTTTGTTCCGTCTGCGGGTCCTACGCAAACCAGCTTCTCGGGAAACTCGGGGGTCGGTGCGAGACCCCGACACCGACAGGCATTGCCTACCTGCGGAGAATCGCCAAGGGAATCTGGCCAAAGGCCCTCAGTCGAGCTGAGCGCGAAGCCAGAGACCAACGCACCCCACGGAGGGTCGCGGATCTTTAATTTCATTCAATCGCTACGCGATCATGCAGAATCTCCAGAATCTCCTCCTCCCCCTCCTCCTCCTCCTCCTCCTCCGCCCTCCTCCTCCTCCTCCTCCTCCTCCTCCTCCTCCTCCTCCTCCTCCTCCTCCTCCTCTGCCCCGTCGAGTGGCCGATCCTCCTGCGGCCGGCCACAGGCCCGCCGCCGAATGCCACACGGGCCTTGCGGGGGCAGACGCTCGGAAAGCCCCCCTCGGAGGGCGGGGGGGGGGCTCTCCCGGCCTGCCCCCGGAGATCCCCTCGGTGGGGGTGCCGGACCCCTCCTGTTGGGTCGGGCATGTCCCCCCACAGGCGGATTTTTGGGCGGAGTATTAAAACTAGTCCAAAAAGATACCCCAAAGAATATTCAAAAATTGACAAAAATCGTCCACTGACTATGTTTTGACTGTTTTTGCGCATTCCTCCTGTAGAGGGCCGTGCCCGACTTAACACTCCTGAGATCCTGGCGCCGCAAACTTCTCCTCGCGACGCGCTCGCCCGGGTGTTTCGTTTGGGCCCCAGGGACCCTCGCAGATCGACCGGCCTCCTGGAGGGGCGCAGGGGGAGGGGCCTATATGGGGCTCCAGAGGTGATTTTTCGCACCGTTCCCACGTCTTCGAGGCGTCGGATCTCAGGGCCTCTCTTGGGAGCCTCCAGGGCTGTGGCGAAGAGAGAGGGAGAGAGAGAGAGAGAGGGAGAGAAGAGGTGGCGGGACGGTGGCATGAGCGCGGACGCTGATCTCTGTGCAAGAGGCCTCATTCACCCGTGCTGAGCCGATGATGAGCAAATCTGTGAAACCTGGGATCGGGCATGGGAGTATCCACAGGAACGGTGCCTGGGCAGGGAAGCCTGGGACAGGTCAGGGCGGCTGGGGCACTGGGAAGCTACAGTCAACTCGTATCATGAGGATGCGCGGTAAGGACGCAATGGAGGGCCACGTTAGTGCTGTTCCAGCGAGGTTGGCCAGCATAAGTCGCCAAGGATGGGCCGAATGGGGCAAGGATGCAAGGGTACCCTCGCGAAGGCTGCCTATCCTTGTGCGGATTGACTGCACGACAATCAATACCTGCTCCTGCAGAAGGAAAAAGAGAAAGGCCCCCTCTGTAGGTGCTGGCCTGCTTCTCGAGAGCCTCCGGGGTCGTGGCCACGAGAGAGAGAGAGAGAGAGAGAGAAACAAAAAAAACAACAACAAAAAAAAGATAGCCCTGACCGACGTCCAGGCCGCCAGGTCAGATGCACGGGGGGATGGGAGGACATCACAAGGAGGAGGAATTTGCAAGGAAAACACCATGAGAGGGAAAACACCGGGGGGAAAAACGCTGAGGGGGAAAACGCCAGGAAGGGAAAAACACCAGGAGGGGACTCCCCAGGGGGGAAAGCAGCAGCAGTAGGGGGACAGCGCGAGGGGGGAGGAAAACACCGGGGGCGAAGGCACATGGGAGAGGGGGAGGGGGGAAAGCACCAGGGGGGAACGCACCAGGGGGGGGGAAAGCACCAGGGGGGGAACAGCACTGGGAGGGGGAGGGGGGGAAGGCTCCAGGAGCACGCGGCGCATCGAGCACCTCGCGCCGGAGCTTCTTCGCCTCGACCCCTCGGGCTCGCGAGGCCCCTGCTGCGAGAGGCCCGGGGCCGCCCGGGGGCGCCTGCCCCTGTCGCCTGGCTGCCCGCCAGCAGCGGGGAGCCGGCGCACGCCCTCCTGGAGCGGGCGATGTCTTGTTCGGGAGCCCTGCGCCCCAAAAACTTGTCATCTCTTGGAGGGCGCCGTCTTTACTTCCGCCGCCCTCCGCCCGCCCCTCCGCCGGCGCAGGCGGCCCCGTCTCACTCCCGCCGCTCCTCCGCCGCGGCAGAAGTGGCAACTCCTTCTGTCCTCGAAGGCAAGGCTCCTTTTGGAACGCCCCAAGCGGCCACCTACCTACCAGACCACCCAAGCCCAACCCGAAGACCCGAATTTCGGGGTGGGGTGGGGGGGGGGGGCGGGCTGCATGGATGTGTTTTGTTCAACGTTCCCCCATCCCCCCCCCGCCCCACTGGGGAGGGAGGGCAAATTAAAACCTTCGGGTTTGGTTGGGGTGGTTTGGTGGGTGGTGAACAAGGATGAAGGGGCCCTGGGACACACAAATAAATACACACAAGTAAAAAGGCTCCCCATATTTTCCCATATTTTCTGGGTTTCGCCCAATTCCCATATTTTCCAATATTTTCTTGGGGATCGACGATTAATTGTGTCTGTGTGTTTTTTTCCCTCCTGAAAGGGCCCCTCGCCCTGGGAGGGTGGACCGAAGCTGCGAGGCCCCACAACATTAGGGGTGAGAACGGGCCTTCTCGGCAGACGTGTCAAACCACGCCGCCCAGGAGGCATTGCACCCCTGAGTGCAAAAAAACCCTGGGGCCCGAATGAGGCCACGCCTCGGCACTGTGCTGTTCGGGCCAGGGGGTCCTTCACGTGAGCGTGTTTTTACTTATTCGGCATTTCGACACTGGGCGGCAAGGGGGGGAGGGGAGGTCTGGCCCCAGACCTCTGCTTAGTGCGACTGTTTGCAAGAGTGCGGCCTCCGGGGGAGACTCCACCCGCTCGAAGCAGGCGCCAAACAACTGCCAAGATGTACTCCATGGGGGGGGGAGGGTTTTTGTTGGGGGGGCTCGCGCTGATCGGCAAAACCATGAATAAACATTGAGGGATGAAAAAACGGCCCTACCCTGGGTTACAAGTGCGTGGTCTTTAAACCTCCTGGGACCCCCCGAAGCCTAGAGCCGCCAGGACGCGGCACATCACGCAGGGTTTACCCTGTCAGCCCACAGGAGTTTCAGCGCACAGCGCCTCGTAAACCAGGGTAGGGGCGTTTTTTATGCCCTTGATTAAACATGCCAACACTTTTCCCCATGGTGCCTGGCACGCTCGCCCGCCTGCCCCAGCTTGGAGGACAGCGAGTTCGACCTCGGCGCGGAGCGGCCACGGCGCCGCGCCCCGCGCGCAGGTCGCGCGCGGAGGCCGGGGAGCCGAGGAGCCGAGGGGAGGCCTGGACGCTCGAGGATCGAGCCCCGAGGTCCGGGGGTTCGGGGCGTGTTTTAGGTCGAGCCTGACCCCCTACAGGGGGATTTTGGACGAAAAAAGAAAAATACCCCAAAATGCTCCAAACATGATCGACACCGGCAAAAAATGGTACCCAGACTACTTTTTTGACTATTCTTATTTTCCCCTGTAGAGGGACAGGCCCGACTTACGGCGTGTTTTAGACATCAAAAGATCCACCCTCATAATAGC